GATGCATTACTCTTATCTGTATGACCAAAAATTAAGACGTATTTTAAAAGCAAATGATCGCACCGGCGCCTCCATCTGTCATGCAGTAGCCCAAGCGCGCTTCAGCTTCCACACTACGCACAAACACATGAACTGCGCACTTTTTTCTAGGCTAACATTAGATTGAGCTGCCATGTTAAGTTGCTACTACATACATATTTCAAATAAGCCATATTTGAGGTCGATGAATGTTAGGTGATCATATGGATGTCCTGCCCGATGTACTATATTACCACACAGACCAGCCGTTAACGATTTGTCCGTCACGGACTACTTGATTTCGTGTGGAATTTTTTTTTCTGCGACTAATTAAATTTTGGTCGACCAATCCTCTTCTCTAATGGTTAGTCGACTATTAGGGGGCAGCCCTAATGAATAATGAAACGAAGTTAAATATAAACTGTTCAGCTATTCATAAAAACATCTCTGTTCAGAAAATTTAGATATTTGTAAAAATAGTTTAGATATTCGCTTACGATTCGTTTATCTATTAGTAAACAACCGTTTAGCTATTCTTGTACACACAGTTTAGCTATTTTTTTTTTTTTCTGCGACTAATTAAATTTTGGTCGACCAATCCTCTTCTCTAATGGTTAGTCGACTATTAGGGGGCAGCCCTAATGAATAATGAAACGAAGTTAAATATAAACTGTTCAGCTATTCATAAAAACATCTCTGTTCAGAAAATGTAGATATTTGTAAAAATAGTTTAGATATTCGCTTACGATTCGTTTATCTATTAGTAAACAACCGTTTAGCTATTCTTGTACACACAGTTTAGCTATTTTTAAATTGTTTAGCAATTACATATACAATTTACAAATGTGTCACAGTTTTGCTATTAGTGAAATATTGAGCTATTCGTAAACATTTAGCTATGCATATGCAAGGGTAAGCTATTCATATACACTTTAGCTATTTGTAAACAATTTAGATATCAGTATTTTTTACATATAGTTCATAGTTCTCATATAGTACACAGTTCATAGTTTATCTGTCAGTGAAGAACAGTTTAGCTCATATTGTATGTTATTGTTCCTTGAATAAAAAAAAACAGTTTAGCTATTTGCACACACAGTTTAGCTATTTTTAAACAAGGTTTAGCTATTTATAAACAGTTTAGCTAAATATAAATTGTCAAAGTGTTTAGCTACTAGTAACAATATAGCTCTTCGTAAACGGCATTTAGTTATTCATATTCATAAACAGTTTATATTTTCTTAAATAAGGTTTAGTTATTCATAAAAATTATAGTTTAGCTATTCATAAACAGTTTAGCTATTAGCTACTAGAAATATTTAAAGAAAAAACTGGGTTAAAATCTAAATGTCAACTTAAACAACAAAATGCAAAATGTACAAAATGCAAATTCTTTATTTTCTGTGAGAACTGTCAGCCTTTTTTTGTGGTTAGATATGAAGAAAAATCTATAAACAGTTTAGCTAAATATAAATTGTCAAAGTGTTTAGCTACTAGTAACAATATAGCTCTTCGTAAACGGCATTTAGTTATTCATATTCATAAACAGTTTATATTTTCTTAAATAAGGTTTATTTATTCATAAAAATTATAGTTTAGCTATTCATAAACAGTTTAGCTATTAGCTACTAGAAATATTTAAAGAAAAAACTGGGTTAAAATCTAAACGTCAACTTAAACAACAAAATGCAAAATGTACAAAATGCAAATTCTTTATTTTCTGTGAGAACTGTCAGCCTTTTTTTGTGGTTAGATATGAAGAAAAATTACCCTCCATTTCTGTGGGCCGTTAATGGCGGGCGTTGGTTTGGGCAACGAGACATCGGGAGGTGCGTGAAACGGGCGGCTAATGGCTTAAAACAGCGCGTGTTTAGCACCTTCAGCCGAATGATTAATTAACGTGGAGATTACGGAGAGCACTTGTCAGATCACTGATTGGACCTTAATGGCAAAGAGCCATTCTGCCTGAGAGCAGAATTACCGAGAGAGTCTAGCAACTGCAGCAGAATATGAGAGTCTTTCACACACACACACACTAACGATAGGTTTCAATCAGCACACAAAGGCCAGTTTTGTCTGAGTCATAAAAGAGGGAGGCAACAACCAAACACAAGTGTAAATAAGCAGCATCGTAACGCAAGAGAGACGTCAGCGCTGGCTGAATGTAATGAAAAAGTGTGTGTGTGTTGCAGTAAAACTCGGCTTGAGAGCCAAAGGGAGGTGAAAAACGCAAACAAGTGAACAAGAGACATTGGGGGAAGGGAACTACAAACGTGTGTGTGTGTCAAAGCATGCAGTGGTGATGGAACCGCCTGGCCACTTCAAGCACAAAACTTACAAAATACACAAACACACAGCAAGGAATGGAGCACAATGGAACGTGACATCCCTAGTTGCGAGAAAACAAACCCACAGACACATGTGGATGCACGTTATAGGCAGAACGAGAGAAAAGCGGAAAATAGCAGATGGGAAAAACAGGGGGGGGGGGATCTAAGCGTAAAACTAGCTTGATTCCGACACCACAAAAGTGTGTTCTATTCTGGAACAGCACCACTGCCTCAATGCTAAAAAATGCTCCGTAAAATGCAATAAGAAACTTTCCCTTTTAATGGAATTCAAGGCACCGCTGCGGAGCGAGAGAGAAGGGGGGGCTGGGGAAGGAGAGAAATCATGCGCTCGCAGCAGTAATCGCTCATTTCCTGTTCTCCGTGCCAGTCCTTTCAGACTCACTGCCGGAACTAATCCAGCTCCCCATTAATCTGCCCAAATTGGGCACGGAACACCGCGCCATTCCAGAACCTGCAGAACCACCGTATTCTAGAACTGTGGAATACTGTCAAATTCCAGAACAGCACGGAATCTACTAAACAATGAGATCAGTGCAGGTTTTGTTGCATTACAAAAATACTGAACACCGGAGAGATATTCTACGATATTTAAAGACAATATGAAATTGGTATTTTAATAAATAATAAAAGTCGCTAGTCTTATTACCAATAATTCATCAATGCACATTATTCTACTAATAAACTTAAGCGAAATAATAATAGCATTCTTTGCTTCTAAAAAAGACGTGGAGAAAACCTGAACCGTAGAGTGCTATAACGTTGCTAGAACATTCCTAGAACGTTGCTAAAGCATTGCGGCACTCCTTCACAGAATCCAATTAACAGAGTAACCCAATCAAATTTTGATGGGTAAATGCAGCAATATTTATTATAAATATTCAGTTTCATTGATAAATCATGCAATATTGCGAAAGATAAATGTGCTGCAAATGCCATTTCAAGTTGTCTTCAGGAACACTGCAGTGTTGCAAAAACACCAAAAACTAAACTCAAAAAAGACTGAATACAAGATCAGAGACGGTGTGCGAAGGGTTAAGGTTTTCAGGTTCGACAGAGAAAGAGCAAGGACGCGACGGAGAAAGTGCGAAAAACAGCGCGTCTGCGAAAGCACGGGAATGAATGAGAGCGAGAAAGGTTTGAGTGGGAGTGCAAAAGCCAACTCCACCCACCCCACAGGAGTTCCACAGCGCAGCAGCTGTCAGAGTAAACACACACACTCACACACACACTCTGCTTGGTCCGTAACAACACAAAGAAAACAAGTCTCTTTAAAATATGACAATTGGCATTTTCTTGTTTGTCTGAATGAGGACATACAGATTAGACAGACCAAGATTAATCCGACTACTAAAATATTTTATATATATACACCGGTAGGTAGGTAGATGGATGGATAGATAGATTTATAATATTTTTATGAATATTTATTTATTAATAATAACAATAAGAATGCGAAAAATGTGTATATAATAATAATAAATTATTATTATTAATTGTTTCCTTATTTGATCAATTTAATAGTAATAATAATAAATCCTAATACATTATTATTTATCAACAACAATCATAAATATATTTATAAGAAAGAGAAAATATGTATATAATAATAATAACCATAATAAATGTTTATATATTATATATATATATATATATATATATATTTTAAGAAGAGTTAGAATAAATGTATATAATAACAACAACTAAATTTTTATCACTATTAAACGGTTTCATTATTTTATCAAATGTAATAAAAATTATAATAAATACTGATCGTATTTATACTTATAATATTAATAATAGGAAGAATTATAAGAAATATGTGCATTATTATAAAAATAATAATCCTAATTATTTTTTTTTTTAAGTAAAAAGATAAAACAAAAAAGGTAAAGGAAAAATATACACATTTCAGCAAACCACTTGACATAAACTGTTATGAGTCATTTTTCCCAATTGAGGACATCCCATATGTCCCCAAAGGCAGGTTTCGGAAAAAGTAGTTCACATTGCAAACCAAGTAAACCCGCACACACTGTATTGTGTAAACACCTACATAATATTTTCATAGGAGGGCGTTTGTCTGCTGTAAACGCTGTGGACTCTAGGTGTGTGTGTTTTGTGTTCGGCTGCAGAACGCAGGCTACGTGTGTGTGCGACTGTGCGCTACATCTGCGTGCGGGGAGAACGCAGGCGGTGTTATTTAAAGAATGCACAGAGAGTTCACTGGGGAATCATTTTCCTTGACGGAGAGAGAAAGAGAACAGATTCTGACCCGGCCTTCACTTCTCCCCTCCCCCTCGCTTACGTCTCTCCACTGAGAGTCTGCCTTTCAGCACGAGAGGAGGTCAAAGCAACCGCACTCTAAACACACACGCTATGACCCCCTCCCGTGTCCGTTGAGCCGTCCCAGAGAGCCGCGGTGCTTCCCTAATTGGGATGATTAACATTGTTGTGATTGGAGACATGTTTTTAAACGGTTCCTCACTGAGCCCGGGGAGAACGCCTGGGTTGTGAGTCAAAGCAAAGAGCACCGCTAGCCTCTCTCGCACAAACAAAGAAAGGACGTTCTTGTGCAGATAAACGAGCACCTCGACCTTCTGTGATCGCACCGACATGTGCCTCCGCACTTACCTTGTGTTGGTGGGCAGGGCTGAGTTCAGGACACTCCTCATTGGTCGACTGCGACAGCATCCTGCGCTCCTGTTGGCCGAGGTGCTTGGTCTTGCATTGCCGCTTGCCCTTTGGCTTTTCAGGGTCACCGTGCCAGCGCAAACGAGATGGGAAGGTGCCTTCGGGGTCCAGAGAGGGCAAGGAGGGTCCCAGTGACTTGCGGTGCTCCTTTAATCGCTGCCGTTTTTCTGAGAGGTGAGATGGAATCGAGGAGGAAAACTTCCGCATGGTATCGGCACAAAAGCCGTGAGAGAGAACAGGAACTGCTAGAGAGAAAGAGAGAGATTAAAAGAGTTGGCTTTTAACGTAACGTAAGAATTATGTAATATGTTAAAATTTACTGAAAATATTACAGTAGAATGAAAAATTCAGCTGAATGAGATAAATGTCAAAATATTTAATGAACATTCAAAGGGTGGGAGATACGTAAAATGCAAATGTTGCAGTGCAAATGTGTTGTCAAAATAATAAAATAAATACTACAGAATTTTGTAGCTGCAGATTCTATGAACATATTAACAACTTTTTAATTGTAAATTCTGTAATAACTAATTTCACAGAAAATATAACTGGAAGGAAACAAAACAAAGATAAATAGCAAGAACACAAATTTGGGATTTACGGTTTGTGCGTTTGCAAGATATTTCATCACGGGCAACACACAAATATCAAACTGACAGAAGCTTCCTTAAAGTCTCATTAGGTAAATCAGACTGACAGCAGTAGAATGAACAGCAGCAGGCTGACCGCCTTATGAGGGACGGACAAAGGACGAAAAGATTTACAAAAACTGATGCATCCTTTCCTTCGCCTGCTTTCTATTTTGCATCACGTGACCAGAGCTCAAGCAAGAGAGGCACGTTTAAGCGATAACATCAACCGGCGGAGAAGGACAGAAGGAAAAAGAAGGAAAACATGAAAGGAAGAGCAAGATAAGAGAGGGAAATCAAATGAAAAGGGAAGCAACAGCGAACAGAAAAGGAGAAATGACGGACGGACGTGAAAGTGGAAGAATAGAGAGAAATGCAGCAGCGAGGGAAAGAGACGATGAAAGGGTGAGCGCAAGGCCGAGAGAGGGAGAGAGAGAAACCGAGCACGCTCCACATCTGTTCCATTATTCATCATATCCCCCATTCAGTCGCGCACACACACACACAAAGCCAGCGAGAGCCCCACCACACAGTAAATTTCTCTCACGCATGCAAGCAAGAACAGAGGACGCCAAAGACAGAAGACCACATAGCCAACAAAAACACACACTACCAACTACCAAACACCATACATTTATTGGTGTATATATACCAATATATATATAAATATAACATATAATTAAAATATAAATAGCAATATATATACCAGTATATATATATATATATATATATATATTTATATATATATGCCAGGCCAAGTATCAAATTATCAAGTTTGGGCGATAACAAATTTGGGCGATTTTTGCTAACAAACTTTCTCACAGGCTTATTAACAGATAAATAATATAAAAATATAGAAACAAGATAAGTTTGTTTACATATACATATTGTTTACATAACAGTACATATTAAAACTTTCCATTCATTTGATCAAATTTGGTAGAATTTTTGCTAATTTTGTCAAACTTTTGCAATTTTAGTAAAATAAGAAAAATAATTTGTATACAAAATGTACAAGTTTTGTTTACCAACTGATGAATTGGAGTAAATACTGCATACATTTTTACATTCACTAAGAAAAAAAAAAGATCTTCACATTCTTGGTGAATTGAGTAAATAGTGTAAAATAAAATTTGCCTACCACCAAAAACATGTAACAATGTTTCAATTTGCAACCACAAAAACTACTGCAGAAATATCCCCCACTCTGCGATCTAGATATTGTCTAAACTAAAAAAAAAAATTCCCAAAATTGCCCACTACTACCAATATTCACAAACATGCACAAGTTTACACAAACAGTAAATTCGCAAATCATATCCTCACCACAAAATCAGATCCATTACACATCAGCGGCCTCTGCAGTGATTTGGTTTGGTAGATGAAGCTGGCAGATCTAATAGATCGGCCCGAGAAAAAAGCCCCTTAGAGAACCTTCAACATGCAGACCACCAATTGTGCAACTGTTATATATACCAGTATATATATATATATATATATATATATTTATATATATATGCCAGGCCAAGTATCAAATTATCAAGTTTGGGCGATAACAAATTTGGGCGATTTTTGCTAACAAACTTTCTCACAGGCTTATTAACAGATAAATAATATAAAAATATAGAAACAAGATAAGTTTGTTTACATATACATATTGTTTACATAACAGTACATATTAAAACTTTCCATTCATTTGATCAAATTTGGTAGAATTTTTGCTAATTTTGTCAAACTTTTGCAATTTTAGTAAAATAAGAAAAATAATTTGTATACAAAATGTACAAGTTTTGTTTACCAACTGATGAATTGGAGTAAATACTGCATACATTTTTACATTCACTAAGAAAAAAAAAAGATCTTCACATTCTTGGTGAAAATTTGCCTACCACCAAAAACATGTAACAATGTTTCAATTTGCAACCACAAAAACTACTGCAGAAATATCCCCCACTCTGCTATCTAGATATTGTCTAAACTAAAAAAAAAAAATTCCCAAAATTGACCACTACTACCAATATTCACAAACATGCACAAGTTTACACAAACAGTAAATTCGCAAATCATATCCTCACCACAAAATCAGATCCATTACACATCAGCGGCCTCTGCAGTGATTTGGTTTGGTAGATGAAGCTGGCAGATCTAATAGATCGGCCCGAGAAAAAAGCACCTTAGAGAACCTTCAACATGCAGACCACCAATTGTGCAACTGTTCGCATTTGGTGTGTGCGCATTTGCGCACAAGAACACATCCTCATGGGCAAACTGTTCAAACCTGCGTAAAGTGCTCCTCTCCTTCAACAGGCTAATTAAAGTCCTACCCTGAGAACCCTTGAGACCGGATTCACTGCACCTATCCCACACGCACACACATACACGCACAAAAGTGTGCGTGCTCTGCAACCTAAGTGAATCACTCAATTAGCAAAAGGGGAGCAAAGACCTTAATGTCTTTAAAAATCAACAGAACAAAAGCAGTGCGCTAAAAACGCGCACACACACCCTGGGGCTTACAGCGGAGAGTCGTGCATCACTGGCATGCGTGTCTTGTCTCTCACACCTTGTCATAGGCGACACAAATGAGCCTGCGTGCATGTACGAATTCCCTCGGCTGAAGAGCGAGAGCATGTGTGTGTGCGGTGGGAGACGGATTTTGACAGGGACATCTGGGGGATATTAGCCTCCCATTAGCACGCAACTGGGCAAACACACACACACACACACACACAATAATGCATTAACTAGCAAACCATCTCTCAGCTTGAGTAAAACCAAGATGCATATGTATAGGACCATATTACTCACACGCACAGAGTGAGGGATAGAATGAGATAAAGAGTCTCGTCTCTCATCTTGCTGCTCTCTAATCCTTCTGACAGAACCCCAGCACAATATCCAGCAGCCAAGATCCTGACGGGCAGCCTCACACACACACACACACACATTGTTATTTGCACAGTTGTGGAATCTCATGGCTCATTACTCTGCGGCATGCACTTTCTCTGCGATGCTTTTATACCAACAAGGAAGCGAGCGCCTGAGAGTGTGTGTGCGTGCGAGCGAGCATGGCTTGTCAATCAACAAGAATCATTATTGCTATCCCAAAGTCACAGACACAGGGCGACGTGCTCTGCTTTCCTCTAATCTGCCTCTCCCTACTGCCTCGCTCTCGTCTTTCACCTCAGTTCTCCCCTCAGCGCTCCATATCCTCTTTTCATCTCTTTCACTCCTTCTCTTCCACCCTTTCCCTCTGCTTTCTAACAGCCGTTCGTTCCCTTTCTCTTTGCATCTCATTTGTTCACGCTGCTTGTGTCTCCCCACTCAGTTCTCTCCTTCTGGGTCCTTCTCTAACCTGCATAACTTAATGAGACTTAGTCTTAGCTTAGAGCACCATTTACAGACCTGCCAATAGAAAGAAAAAGGGTGTAGTATGTAGGGCGTAATATGCAGAATTTAGTATGTGAAAGGACGTAGTTTGTATAGTATAGAAATAGTATATAGTATGTAGGATGTGGTATACATGTATATATAGGGAACATTACGTAGTAAGTAGGGTGTAGTGTATACCATGTAAAGTGTAGTGTGTACTATACTAGATATGAGAAGCTTGTATGCCATAGTATGTAGTTTAAAGGATACAGAGTGTAGTATGTATTGCGTAAGACAAAACATATAGGAGGTAGGGTGTAGTATGTTGACTATAGTATGTACTGTGAAAGAACTCAGTTTGCATAGTATTAAAAGGTATAGTGTGTAGGATGTAGTATATATATATGTAGGGTATAGATTGTAGTATATAGGAGGCATTAATTAGTAAGTAGGGTGTAGTGTATACCATGTAAAGTGTAGTGTGTAAGCCTTGTAGTGTGTAGATTGTATGCCATAATATGTAGTTTTAAGGATACAGATTGTAGTATGTATTGTGTAAAACACAATATGTATTCGGTACTCTATGGCCTGTAATCTATGTTGGATGTGAGGCCATAATATTTAGGGTGTAGGGAATAGTTTGCAAGAAACGGGGCGTAAAAGGTAGTGTGCAGAGCATAAATTAGGGTGTAGGATGTAGTTTGCACCCTACGACGATAGATACTACATAGACTGTATTGTGTAGAGTGCAATGCATAGGACGTAGAGATGCAGTATGTAAGGCAAATGTAGGGTATAGGGCATGAAGTGTAGTATGTAAGCCATCTGTAGGGTGTAGTATGTAGTTTGTGGTGCATAAGAAACCACACTCTGTGTAGCGGTATTCTTTACCTGAATGGTTTGTGCATGGCTAAATGAGGAAACTGTTTAGTAATGCAAATAAAACAGCATAACAGACTACAAAACCAATTTACTCCGTTGTCCCTTGCCATTAAGTCTGTGGTCCTCTTGACATAAATGTCCTCTAAAGATTTTCACAGACAGGCTTCTCTGTTCTACCCAGAATGCTTCACTCTCCACTTACAACCGTGCATCTAAATGAGACAAAATGGGAAGGTGTACCTGTGTTGGACTCCGCGTATTCCAGCTGGTCCTTAGTCCAGCCTTTCTCCACTTCTGCTTTCCTCTTCACCCCCTTCTCTTCAAATCCATTCGCTTTGACCTTTCGATCCACAGCAGGGGCACTGTGGGTGACTCGCGTGACCTCTGAGGGACAAGAGTCAAGCTTTTCCCTCCTGGCAGTTTGGAGTTGTGGAAGAGAGGCTTTGGATGTGGGAGACAAACCCATGTTGGGAGCTCCGAATTGCGGCCTGTCATGGTTGAGCAGCCCCTGTCTATCCCACAGTTCCTGGAGATTATGGAGGTGGCGGGGCTTACTGAGCCGAAGACCCGTCAACTCGATACACACCTTCAGATTCTTCACCTCCTGCTCGGAGGGCTGCGGCCACACATCTGTGGAGAGAGATAGAAGCAATCCGTTTATACCTTGTATTAACATTCAGCTCGGATGATCCGATCTTAAGTGGTCAGCTGGGACGATTTGCTGGATACACCTGGATTTACTATGCATCTCAAATCAAAGAATTTGTGACCGGTGTTGGGAAGGTTACTTTGGAAACTTTACAAGTTACCCTATTTAAAATGTAATAAATAGTGTAATTATTTCTATTACTTTATTAAAGAAATGTAACTGATTACATTTCATTACTTTTGGAGTAGCCTACTTTTCTAAATTTCTAACAAATGTTTTCAAGTGTTAATCATTTTGAAACATTTAAAGTAGGCAGGGTTAACATTACAGTAGTAATCAACACTAATTACTGTCGGACTTCAAAATCCTTTATCACTTGAATTAAGATGATAATTAAATTTTAAAACACAGCCACCACAAAATCAGACTTTAACACCTGTTTTTACTTTGAGAACATTCTGAGGTTAAATACAGATTTAAAAATCAGAAGATAGTTTAATAAATTTGAAATGAAATCTTTGCATAGCTATGAACATGAAACACTGGCATCTAACAATGCTTTGGAAAAAACTGTTTAAAAAAATAAAGCATACACAAACCCAAATACGAAATAAAATGGTTATCAAATCAGCATGTGTCATATTCTGTGTCCTAAACTCCTGAAACATTGGTGTCTCATATTTTAAAGCAGTCAATGCAATTTGAGAAAGAAATCAGTCAAACCTACTGTATATGTGTGAGAAAACATTCAGCTGTAACCCCTTTTGTAATCATTAACATTTTCATAAGTAACTCTAATTTAATTACACATTTTACCGATTACAGTTACATTTATTTTGTAATTAAATTACGTAATTCCATTACATGTAACTAGTTACTCCCAACACTGTTTGTGACTACACACATTGCGTACTAAACTGTGCCCAAATTTCTTGTTCTGGCATAAGTTTGTGGTTATATGAATCATAAGTTGTTGCTTGACTGACACATTTAGGATGCATTAGGTTACAAATGCTCTGCAGCCATAGACATCTCTGATAGGCTTGCCACGATAGACGGTGGTGACGGTAATACGATTATGTCACTTGCCCACCGCGGCACCGACCCCCACCGTCGTTTAGATTTTTTATAGTAATAAAAATAATTTAGTTCAGTAAAAGAATACACTACTATTAAAAACTGAACGTGGCTGCTCAATGCAGCGTGCCGAACAACAGTCGCATCACAGATCAGATTTCATTTCTCCAGTGAGGAGAGCGGGTCGAGCTGACTGACAAGAAGAGTGAGGTGAGGTGAGACAGACAAGACGATGGTGGATGATTTAGTTTCGAAACGAGATGCAAAAGCACCTGTTTGGCAATATTTTGTATTTTGAAAAGCCTGTTGACTTTTGCCGTTTATCGAAGATGATTTTGGAAGTTTTTTTAAACATTAGTTTCTTATTTAATTGGTTCCACATTGTTTGCTGATTTTTACTTTATTTAAACTGTGTGTCATTTATTTTATTTTTTTACATCAAAGTGTATGCCGTGCCTCCAAGCTTTCTTACTCGTTTTGCTAATAAACGTTCTACGTTTCTTATTTATTTGGTTATATATTATACATGTTTACTTAGCCTATTTCCAGTTTTGTATACCTATTTAAACTTTATGCAAGTTATTTGTTATTTTATATTAGGCATAGCCTGCCCTATAGCATGGTGTTTTTTATTCGTTTTGTTAATAAAAGTCCTGTTTTATATATAGGCTAAAGTGAGTTTGATGTAGTATTTTGTTTTTGCATTCAAGCAATTGATGCCGAATTGCCGCTAATTCGAAAGTGAAAGTAAAATGTGCACAGCACTTTTAAGCTATTTAAAAGTGAAGGAAAGCGAGGAAAAGAGGGCAAATTCAAATGAACTAAAAACTAACAATTGCTTTACGCCGAATTGCCGCTATTTTAAAGTGAAAGTAAAATGCGCAAGCATCTTTTACAAGTTATTTAAAAGCGAAGGAAAGCGAGGAAAAGAGGTAACGCCCCCGCGGTGATACCGGTGTTGTCACATGTCGATTAACCGGTGAGAAAATTTCCTCACCGTCACAACCCTAATCTCTGACCACCAAAAGTTCACAATGCATCCCCAGAATTGGATCGTAATGCATCTCCACAATGCACTGCAACCCATTTACAGCTGCATTTAGCGATGTTCACTTGTGTCAGTGCAAAGTATAAACAAAGGGTTGCGCACTTAGAGCAGGAATTGTTTTCCAATTGTTAACAGAGTTGTTTCCTTCTAGAACACAAACACCCACCAGTTTGATAGCTTTTCAAATGAAAGCACAGAGCTGAACAGACACCCACGTTTTGCTGACAAAAACAAGCTTTCTGGGACAAGTTTAAGCGATGCGATTTATACAAAGGCTGTTTTGATGTCTGAAAACGCCCTTTAGACTGAGCACAAAGAGAGAGTAGGGCAGAGAACGCCCGGCAGTTGTGTTTATTTGGACCATGTGACGGCAATAAACACAAATCAAGATGAATCGAAAAGGCCAGCGAAAGGATCAAAGCTGGAGCAAGCAGAGGAAAAGGGAAAAGAGCAGCGAGAGAGTGAGATGTGTCAGGAGGTCGGCGATAAGATGAAAGACAGAGCAGACCATCCACTACTTGGACCTGGCGGAAAGAATGGGATGAAGAGACGGAAAAAGAGGACAGACATGCTGAAGGACATTGGAGAGACAGACAGCCCGGATGTCTACCTGAAATCAGTCTCGCTCTCTTTGCCGCGATGCCATTATCGTCCTCTTCTCTCGTCCGTCTCTCTCCATCTCTCTCTTCTGCGGTGTGCATGCAATCAGGGTGGCCTTGGCTCTGTTCCAAACCCAATGCATGTTTCCTGCCCGTCGCCGTGCCAACAGACCCCTCCTCCTCTCCTTTCACGTCCCTCGCTCTCTTCTCCTCTGCTCGGCGGGACTGTGGGACATCGGCTGGTGGGCCGCACCGCTGGAGCACGGGAACTCTGTTGTTTGCACATGTTGGCGTCGCACCTGCGTAGCCACACAAACACAATTGCGTTAGTCTGACACACTGCGTCACCGGCTTGCAAAGAAAGACCTTTTCCAAGTTCAAAAGAAGCGCGACAAATCAGTAGAGGCTGAGAGTAGACAGAGAGAGATAGAAAGAAAAACAACCCTGTCCACCCCTACCCTGGACACTTGTGTGTTTGTGCTAACTATACGACACCCATCCCACACGGGGAGCTAGACGGCAAACAGGGACACACTTGCTCGCTCTCTCTGCGAGCTTAAATTAGCCCGAAACATCCATGCCAAGAGCGCAAGCGGCAACCCAACTCGAGTCTCCTCTCCCTCTCCCTCTCCCTTCCTCTCTCTCTCTCTCTCCTCCCCCTCTCCTGCTTTCTCCCATTCTGTGTGTGGCAGTGAAAAGCGCTCCTTGAGAATGTCTCCCGGCAGCTAAGAGCAGCAGCGCAGATCAAAGACAGGCGCTTGGGGATCACGCTCCATACCGCCCGCTTCTCTCTTTCACACACACACACATTCGCACCATATATAGCATCACATGCACGTCCTAAAATCATGCACTTACACATTACACATCTAGCTGACAACTTATAAGTCACACATAAACCAAATCTATCAAATTTACCAAAAAATATACATTCCACAAAATTAATAAAAATGGTGCGGAATCATGCATACAAAATGACTCGATTAAATGCGCCCTCGATGCAGAACAGAACTACTTTTATACTGGCCTGGGTAAGAATGCAGCCCACCCTGCCCTGGGCTCTCAGACACGCACAAAGCATGTGACTAACACCACATGCATCCCATAATTCATGGCAATGTGTGCACCATAGCAACTCTGAACCAAAACAGATCACCATGGTAACATCATTCGCGTCACCCGGAGAGAGTTAATGTGGCCATTCTGAGAGAGCGAGAGAGAGATGTTGAAGGACAGACTGGGCATAAAAATCAAGAGAGGAATGAAGGACATGAAACATCCTGAAAGGACGCACAAAGTAAAATAATCAATTACTTGAACTGTATTGATTGATAAATAGAATGGTGTTCGGCAACTTAAAACTAGAGTAGAAGGTTTTCTGTAGCATTTTCACCTTCAAAGCTTCACAAGAACTGCCGGTCTGACGAGCGCACTATGTTTATGTAATCCAGAGCGCTGTTAATTGTCCGTGTGGCTGACACACATGCGAGCGTTCACGCACACACACACACACTCTGACCCACATGCACAGGAAACGCCTCGCCTCTGTGAAAGCCACCAGGGAGAGCGAGGTCACATAGCAGCAAAGTGTTGATTTGGAAATCTGATGGCATTAGGCCATTATCAAAGCTCAAGTGGAAAAAACAAGAGCCAAAACAGCAGAGAGACAGAAAGAGAGACAGAAAGAGAGAGAGAGAGAGGGAGAGAGTGAGAGCATGTGCATGTTTATGCGAGCGCTTCCTTTTGAGGGTGGCGGTGGCGGAAGCCATGTTTACCACGTCGTTTCCGCTGGTTTAACGCTGTTGCATGGAGCGCCACAGCACAGGGACCGTCCCTAGTGACAAGGGGGGAGTGAAGAAAGAGCAAGCGCCTGTGAATTTGGGATGGATACTGAAGATCACAGGAGATTGGACAAAGTGAGAGCGGATGGGTGAAATGCATGAAAAAAGGCAGCCTGCGACCAAGTCGAAAGTTAGAGACGTTTCACAAAAGACAGAGTGTGAAACAAAGATAGCCAGAAAAGAGAAAGAAAATAAAAGGGAGCGCAGGAGCGGGAGAGGTATTGCGCTTATGTGTGTGTGCGAGCATCTTACCGTTGTGCTGCTCGGTGTGATCGGAGAGGGCCGAAAGGGCTGCGGAGGGCCTGGAGCTTGGCTGGCTTTGTTCCCAGTCTCCTGCTCTGCGCTGGCTCTCTGCCAGCTCCCTCTCTCTCTCCCGCTCTCTCCCCAGTCCGGGCGCTGCAGACGACACACACCCCTCCTTTTCCTTCAGCTCCAGCTCAGAGAAACGCATCATCGCACGCTACACAGACACACACACACACAGCACAATCGTGAAACCAGATCCAGTGTTACGAGCACCAGCTGTAAAGCCTGTCTCTCGTGTGCTCCAGTACAACAAAAATAGAGGAAAAAAACAGAATATAAAACTTGCATAAAATAAATCTGCAGTGAGAGTAGAACAGGAGCTAAAGCGCATTAGAATAATTTCAGCAAATGCATATCAATAACTTATAACAAAAACTAACTGATATAGGTGAAATCAGGGAATTCATTTTACTCAAATTTGACCATGCAATTTTCAGGGCCCCTCAGAAAGGGGGAAAAGGAAGGAAATAAAGTCTAACTTCACAACTGCCTGTGGGCGCAAAACCAAGTGTTACTCATTTCAACTGATTAGTAATTTAAAAATAAAATGAACTGACCTCCCAAAACGCAGCTGGTTGACTTAAATTACTGTCCTCTTGTGATAATCCTTCCATCTAAGCAATCAGAATGGGGCTCAATGTCTTTTTCAATGATTTGAATTGAATATTTACACAAATTTAACACATCTGCAAACAAACATTAACTTACCCTCATACACAAAAATATGGGGAAATTCATGATATAGTTGAGAATGCTACGGCTTCTTTAAATGATAGAAACGTCAATGTAAGATATGTGGAAATGTGTAGAACACACCGCGCTTATTTAAAAGGACTTTCCAAAATGTGTGGGCTACCTGAAATTAGGGCATTGTTAGGCCTGTCGCAATAATCAATATATCGACTTATCGCGCAATATATGTACATGACCTCAATAATTTTTGGTGACGCAATATATCGCCCATTATATTTACTTAAAAATTAATGTCGCCATGTTTTGTACATTCCACTTGCTCCTGTGTCTTTTGCAGCTTCTCGTACATAACGTGGTGTAGTCATGAGGTGCTAGTTCAAATTTTAAAAATGCTTCTACTAAAAAAAAAAGTTGAATCTGCAGATATGGTCTTGTTTAGGGATCTGTGCCTTTGTGCACACGGACATCTGACTGCTAAGTAGTAATTGTGTTTTTCAGCAATAGTGTGCACCCTTCATTTACAGAGAAAAGAAGGTCAGGGAAAAATCTGTAGATGGAAAAATCTTCAAACAAGATCTTTGTGCATTTTTCTTTTTTTCTACTTGTTACTTTGCACTTTTTGTTACAAAATGTTTATTTACTATTTATTCAGGTATCTAATATTTTGATATTTAATTTCCATGATCTAAATATTCTTAAAAATTAAATGTTTGCTGTCATTTGGAAGTGTGTAGGCCTTCTTGCATTATTATGCTGTTACATTATGATTATATATTCAGTGGCATAAAATGGTCTTTAAAATTACAATAATATCGCTTACCGCAATTATTTCTGGGGCAATATATCGCATAACAAAAAGTTGTTATCGTGACAGGCCTAGGCATTGTCTTCCATCAGCCTCTCCCTTGCTCTCCCTCAGTTGCGCGACTATGTGTGTGTGTGCGCGCTAATGACTCTGCCAGTCGGCGAGCACTCTGTTCGCTGCTGCTGGTAAGAACTCTAATCTTCCCCATCAGGAAAGAATGGGCCGGATTTCACTTAAGCTGGGAGGGCTGCCACCACGCACATGGCTAGTGGGGGCCTAGGGATGTGCATGTGTAAAGAGAGGAATGGAGTGCAAGACGGAAGCGTGTAGGAAAGAGTGTGAGATTATGTTTTGGTATGCCCCGCACACACCGGTCTCCAGGGCTCACCTGCAGGTTAACAGTTGCCTGCAGCATTATGTGCTAGCAAGGCCACGGCATGCACGCACACACACAAACACTCAGCAGCTGAGCTTCTGCAAGACTGAGCAAAGCAGCCACAGACGGCACTTTGTGTTAACCATTTCAGCCGTTGACTGAACCACAAACTCAAGTGCGTGTGCTCTTGTACAAACACCCAAGTTCTCTCATGCTAACTGTAGAACTGCTGCCATTAAAGCCTGTTTGACAGATTCACAGCAGGGGCCCAAAAACTGCTAGAAAGAGAGAGCAGGAGAGGGAGTGTGGGTTACGGAGATCTGTAATTAGCAAGGCGTTCAATATAACCGAGTGTAGAAGTTAGATACGGGTGCCCGTTCAAAGCCGGAACTAAGGTCATTGAGCTATTTTTAAAGAGAAGCTGTAAATCTCAGGATGGCTGGGAACTTTATCTAATTCAATGACAGCTACTGGTACATGAAGGGTTGACCAGGGAACAAAAAATATATGAGGTGTTCTTACATTATATCACTCTTACTTGACCTTAAGGGATCTGAATGCTTCTCAAACTGAAAGTGTGACAATGACATGTGACATGCTCAAAAACTGCACAAACTTCTCTATTCATCCCAACCGACATACATGAATTGCAGAACTCACCTGCAAGGCTCGCTGTTCCCGGCTTAGTTTGCTGGAGTCCGCATACAGCTCAGTGGTGACGCACTTGAAGCGGTCGCCAACATAGCCTGAGGAGTTGGCTATTCTCTTGGCCAAGCTGGATCTCTTGCTTTTAGACAAGCCGTGTCCTTCCTCCTCATCCTCATGGGAATCTGCATCTTCTGGCACATCCTTGCCCAGGTCCGCATATTGTCGATTAGCGTGGTGCCGATCAACTTTGAATTCAGCACCATCAGCTCGAGCCCTTTCGCCGGAGGTTCTGGCACAGCGCAGTGTCTGCTCTTCCAACATGTCAGGTAGTGGGCTATGCTCAGAGGAGCTTTCCTCACTCTGGCTGTGCACAGGAGAGTCAGACTGCTTCTGTGGCCGAGGCGGACTGCATACCTCTGCCCGCCACTCTGAAGCAGTTGGCCAGGATACGGCAGGTTGGCCGGAGCGCAAAATCTGCATGAGCTCTGGCTCTTTCCCCCCAGAATTACTGCCACTCTCATTCCCCATCCCTGTCCCACTGCCGACTGGCTTAGCTGGCTCTTTGCATTTGGCATTGACGGCACTATGTTTGTCTGGCTCTGGACTGCCATCTGTGTCATCTTGGACCAGGTCGATACAGACAATCTCCTCTTTATTCACTGTGTGAGACTTGCTCTGAGACTTTGAGCCCAAAATTACTTGCCTCTCTGACTCCCTCTCAGATTTGTAGCGTGGGTCTGTGTCAGTGATGCTTTGGCGCTTGTACGGAGCCTCATCGTGATGCCAAGGCTTGTCCAGGGGTCTGTGCCTCAGTTCCAGACGTTCAGTGACTTTGTGGTCCAGGGGCAGGTGGGGAGACATTAGTGGATGGATCATTTCTTGTGAGTCGTGGTAGGTCAGATATTCTCCATGACTGGGTGGGATTCCATATGGGATGCCGGGTTTGGGTGGTAAACGTGCTGAATACAGATTGTTAGTGCTAAGCAGAACTGGATGAGGGTACACTGGCCCTTTTCCTGACAACTGCAAGTGGGAAAGGGAAAGACTCTCGGGTACTGGGTATGAGAGATATCTGTTAGAATATGCTAAGCTGGGAGGAAGATAAGTTTCACCCTGAGGCATGTAGAGGTGGCTTGGAGCATGTCCATTCTCCAAATGTGATTGCTGAGGCTTAAAGCCAATTTCAGGGGTTTCGGGTTTTTTGAGTGTCTTTGAGGGCTTTGTAGCTGTTGGGGTCTTTTCTGGTGGGTTGGAAACCGACTTTGGCCATTCTCCATTAATCTTGGGAGAAGGTGAGACAGATGATGGCCGAGATGCTGTAGTCATGACAGTAGGGGCAGAACTTGGGATTGAGCCATTGTTTTGGTTGTCAATTCTGGGACAAGAGGAACTTCTTGACTGTGGCACCACATGTTCAAGATTCTTATTCTTGATGATGCTGGAGCCTTTGTTTTGACTTGCCTCAGAGCTGATTGTCTGGGCAGGACTTGGCACCACCCAGGAAGATGGTAAAGTGCTAATTATCTCAGGCCTTTCTGGAGTTTTAGAAGAAGTGCTTACTGTAGAGGATGATGGAGAAAGAGTTTCTTTTAAAAGTTCCCTGTTTTGGGAAAGTCCATAACGGGCAGTAGGGGAATAGCCAAGCTTGGCTAAGGCCTCTAATTTTGGGGGGTACCCATTGGTAGGTCCTTCAAAGTCCATGATTTTGGCAGACAGGTCTAAAGGCTTGTCTGCTGGGTCTTTGGTAATAGGCCCCTGTTGAGGTGTTTTCTCAGAAGAGGTCTTAACAGGAGAGCTGCTGCTCTTTCTTTCATTCCCCATACCTCTGTTGGACTCCATGGCTGCCTCTTTGGCTTTAGGCTTTTGGCTAGAAGGCCTAATTGGAGAGCGAAGCTCTTTGGACATGCTGCTAATGTAGACATGGTGAGCAACCGATGGTGAAGATGACGAGGATGAGGAAGGACTTCTGTACAGAGGCTTTTGGAAATCCATAGTGCTATCCACAAGAGGTGGGGGAGGGGGTGGTGGTGCTGCAGGCGGCTGAGAGGGCCGTGGTGTAGGGCGGGGTGGCTGCATTACAAGTGAAGGACACGAGTCTACTGAGACTATGGAACTGGAGCTGCTGCTAACACCAATGCTGCTACTGTTGCTAACATTACTGCTAGTGCTGCTTGTGTTTTTGCTGGATGGGGTCCGGATGGACTTGCTGTTGCTGGCACTGTTTCCACTACTGCTGTGCTGCCTATCACCGGGTGACTGGTGGTGGTGCTGGGTCTGCTGATGTATGGTCTGCTGATTAAATGCTGAAGGCTCATGGTGAATCCTTGGACCAATACTCTGTATCGTTTTGTCCTGGTGGTGCATCATAGGTGACAGTGCAGTAGGGGCAACAGTCGCAGTGGGGATCCTGAGAGGAGGAGCAAGGGGTGAAGATATAGGTGCAGGGGGATAGGGGGGCATGTAAAACAAGCGCTCTGTACCAGCTGCACTGCCTCCTGCACATAGAGATTGGTAGGCCAGATGCTGGGGAAGGTAAGGTGGTGGTTGTGACAGGATTGATGCTTTATACATGTTCAAAGTAGTATATTTACTGGAGTCTAAGAAGGAGTACATTCCAGCTTCATGGTAGGGATTCATCCAGGGAACCCGCAGATAGCTGCAACCACCATTGAGACTCAATTCTGGGGGCTTATCTGCTGGTATGACCCGTCTGTCCAACCCTAAAGCATCTGCACCAGTCCCAGGCAAAATCAGCTGCTTTTGAATCCCAGAAGGGGAACTTTTATAAAGTCCAACGTAACTGTTTGCGGTCTTTCTGCTGTCGAGAGACACATCTGGTTTGTAGAGCAAGTCGGGGATCCTGTCACCAACATAGCCCTTTTCAGTCGGCAGGGTCCGAATTCCTGGTGGATAAACCATCCCTCCGTGAACATGGAGGCTCTCCCGCATCAGGCTGGCCCGATCGATGCCAAGTGCACTGAGAGGGTTCATTCTGCAGGTTGTACTCGCATCCACCTGGGACAAAAGAGCAGAGAGTGGTAAGGGTGGGAGGAGAGTGAGTGCAGAAGAAGACAACAAACAAAGAGCAATACGATTCAGACAATGAACAGACAAGTGAACAAAAGGCCAATACAGATTAACAGCAGGTTCAATCCATCCTATCTTTATCGCCCTTCACTAAATGAGAGGGCAGATTTATCACTGAAATAAGAGACTGCATGTGATAAGAACCACAAAAATGAATCACAGCACATGACAGACACCACAAGTGGTCATTTTATATAAACATCAGACGTTCTTATTAAAAGGTCAGAGAGAAAAGCATCTCGAAGCATCTCTTTCTAATCGCAAACTGATTCATACAAAGTAATCTGATGATTTCCCCACCACCTTAAAAAAAGCTAATAGGAAATTACAAGGACGTCACAACACATTAGTCATTGCACTAGTCAAGGTCAGAACAGGCGAATGCAGAAAACGTTTTTAAATGTCAGCTGCAGCGAGGTTATAGTGCGAGAAACGCAGCAGCCTTGATGTATGCTTTCTGGGCAGTCTGGCAGACAGCAAAGATCGGTCTTCCCATCATACCTGAGAGCGACCTGGAGTCAAATTATGCCAGTCCTGGCTTGTGCATTCTGAGATAATGCATCTGTCAACAATGGAAAATTCTAATGCAAGAAAACAGGTGATTATGCTCTTTGCAAGCATGACAGGTAGATATATTTCAATGTGGGAGGGGATAGTTTAAAGTCTGTCTCTCTACGAAAAAATGAAATGACACAAAGCTGTTCTCACACGACTAACTAAAAGAGAATATCTGTTGATTACATGCATGAGTATGTATTAAATTAAATGCTTACCATGCTTTGAATGAGGACTCTATTTCTCTGTTAGTTCTCAACAGATTCCCTGGTCTTCACCATCCCATAAGGATAATTTTCTGTTGGAGAAAAAAAATGAAGATATTATACATCATGCAGCTCTTGAGGCAGAATATTTACCACATTCTATTATTTATTCGAATACTGTTTTCAGTTCAGGGTAAACAAAATGAACCACAGTGAAAATGAACCTTGATCACTGAGTGGAGAAATTGGCATACTACCGCTAGCATGAGCAGAAAGAGGGAAAATGAGAAACACATCTTCATGAGGCCTTGACCTGCTTTTCCACATCCACATGCCTTTGTTCGGTCACCGGGCCACGTGCCTTGATCTCAGAGCAAGTGCTCTGATAAGGAATCCCTCTACGTTTTGTACCCAGAGACCAACGCAAGGGAG